ACAGGTATCTACGTAACTTGCTTTGTGCTTCTGGAGGAAAGATAGAACAGAAAGACAAGAAATAAATAAATCTTGTGCTTTTTAATAAAATGTGTTAATCTGAAAAGGTGGTACCAGAGTCCTTCTGAATCAAAGACCTAACTATCTTTCTCAGCTGCTATGCTTGGGTTAATGAACTTTCATAATTGCAGAAGTTCATAAAAGCCTAACTTTCCAGAGCAGATTGTAAGAATTCTAGCCCATTCTACTTCTTAAAAAAGGCAAACCTTGGTCATCATTTAGTTCAATGGTCAAACTCGTTAGTATTACTATGCATGAACTAAGCTTTTCCCCACTAGCAACTAATTGAAGTACACATTTCTGCTTAGCCCCCATGATGCTGCCTTTATCCTATCTCCAACCCATGAGTGAGGCAGCTTTAAATCATCCCTAACTGTACCACTGTTGAATTAGTATTTTCCCTCTTATTCCAACACCACCCTAAGGAAGCCTGAAAGCATGTAGAACCCATTACCTTTGGCCCCCACTACCTCAATGAGAAATCCCGTGACTGCAGTGGCTTGAAATAGTGACCACAGAGGATAAGGGACAGCAAACCCAAGGATGCGGAGAGGCCAACTCGGTAGTGAAGAAAGGCCCTGAATGTGCCTTTTATGGTTTCCAGAACAGGCTATAATGCAAAAGCATTCCATAGCAGACAAGTCAATTTTTAAAAGGTTCCCTAAAAGTACAAAATCTAAACACCGCTTGTCTAAATATAACCCAAGGAAGATCACCTTCTATATCCTCAATGCTTGCTCTGTGTTCAGGCTGCTTTCTGGATACTAAATGTGTTTTGCGCAATACAAACCAACCTTCTCCTACACAGGAAGGTTTTGTATTTAAGTTGGCACCATCATATCACATTTATAATTACCTAAAACATCTATTTGAATTTAGCATCCATCTGCAAGAATCCTTCACCAAGTTGGAATGTTTGGTGTGACTTTTGCAGCTGGATCCTCCTCCTCAGCTGTGCCCTTACTTGCTATGATGTATTGATTAAAATTTGTTCTGGCTGGCAAGGACCATAAAGTTAGTTGCATTCCGATACTGACCCTTATTCTACACTGTAGATTTCCTCCCTATCCACGCTGACAAACTATTCCCATTTCTCAATTCCCAGTTCTCTTCAAAATCCTTTCTAATTGTTTTCAGTAATTTCCTTGAATTGTGATACTTCGAAACTGTGACAAAGTTTAAAAGGGCTTACTAAAAAGGCTAGAGCCAGCTCCTTAAGACAAAGTCAATATTTATGTAAAGTCACTATTATCTGGAGCACATCATGTATACATTCCAAGGAGGAATGGGGAGACCAGCTGAAGAAATACACAAGTGACAATAAATTAATTAGCATTGGCCTAGCATCCAACAAACTATAGAAGAGTCATTAAAATCAAGCCTCAGCTGAGAATTCTTGTTTGGAAGGGATTCCCCCCACCCCACCCTCGCCACTCTTCTTTTACACAGGCCCTAGGCCCTGAGAGAATGCAAATGAATGAAAGAGAGCGAGAGTGAGTACACAAGTGTGAGGGCCAGGGTGTTTGACATTCTAAACCAGTAAAGCTTTATTGTTGCTAAAACTCAGCGTGCTTGCTCCTCACTGCAGATCCTAGCCACCTCTGAATGGAAATCCAAGAATGCTAGAAGGAAAAGTTAGGGAAAGGAGTCCTATGGTTTTTTAATAAATCCTGACCCTAACCCAACTGCAGTCACCTGTGAACAGTTCATCAAAGCAAGTGGGAAATGCTTTGAGCAGGTATTCAAAGAGGAAAGTGATGAACTAGTAAGTGGGAAGCAAAGTAAAGCAAGAGGAGAGTTCATTGTTTAAAAGGCAAGCTGTGCCTTCTGACCAACGATGGAGACATTTAGCCTACTCTGAGAAGCTCATCCAACTAAAGGAACTGGAGGCTGATTTCTTGCATTTTCCATGCCAACCCCCAAGGAGGTCATAAGCCATACAGAGGAATGGCTGTTTGCATAAGGTTAAAATGCACAAGGAAATGTGTGCTTGAATTAATGAAGAGGAAAAAGGACAAGAAAACTGGACTTGGTAAAGGCATTTTGTTCCCCTCTCACCTACCAAGCAGATACAAATTCTGCTGCTACAGAAGCTTTTCATCAGGCACAGTCCTCTCCTGATTGAATTAAAATACTGCAATAGGGGCTCAGGCCAGCCAAAAGTTCTTTCAGCCAAAGTCCTGCTGAAATCAGTGTACAGAGGAGACTCACGTGGCAAGGAAACCTTGTGTTCAGCTGGGCCAATTTCATTAGCTTGACTTGGAGACCATAAAAATCCCTGAGCAATCTTGGCGTGGCCATCTGTCCTCCATGAATAGACATGGGATAAACTAAGGATAAAAATAATATCAAGCCCCCATAAACTGCATGAAACTTTTCTATCCCAACAGATTTGCAAAGATTTCAGGCCTGCATGGCGGGGGGAGAGGGGCGGGAAGCCCCCTACATCCCCTGCTTGTCTGCTAATCTTGTTTCCAAGAGACATACAGGGCCAGGAATACCATGTTTTCCCTATAATACTTTGCTGGCTTTAAACACTCTCTTCCAAAAGGCAACCTCCAAAAATAGCCCCTAGATACAGCAGCAGCTGGTATCTGATGTGCAGGAAAATGACATTAGGGAAGCGGATTAAGTTTATTTATTTATTTATATTTCAAATTTGTCACCACCCATCTCACTGGAGCGTGACTCTAGGCAGGGACAACTTTGAAATTTACTTGCAACAAAACCAGCCCAAACAGGTAGAAGTAACAATATTATGAAGATTTGCAGAAGATATGGACAAGCTGTCCTAGAAAGAAAAGGGAGGGAGGAGGAGAAACACTGCAATAGATGGGAATCCCCTCGGATTCAGAGAAATGTTTCAGGCTGTTACTGTAGGCCTCCAGGAAATACATATTTTTATTGTGCAGGAGCAAAAGCTTAGGATAAATGAGACTGTGGCATTTGAACTGAGCTGAGTATCTGAAGACTCCAGAGCACAACGCAGACAACGTCACAGAAGGCGCAACTGCATTTTAATAGCAAAGGGACCCCACTGCCATTTAAAATATGTATAACAGCCTATTTTTCCTCATCACCCTCAATGCAGTGCCTCGCTGCCAGGAAAAGTGGAATAAAGAGCTCTACGTCCCCCACCTCACTGTTGCCATTCATCAGCAACCTTGACTGAGCTTGAAAAAGGCCGAACCTGATTAACGCTGGGATGGGAGACCACCAGAAATCCCAGGCCTTTAGGCTAGAGCTAGACCGAGAAGGCAGCGATGGCAAACCCACTTCAGCGTCCTTGGAGTAAGATGGAGATGTCCAGATGGTCACCTGATTTAAAGTAAATGTTACTTTACTTATCCCTTGAAGGAGTCCTGGGGACAGAGACAATTGCCAAACTCCATCTTTGCCAGTATGGCACATTCCCAACATTCTTGGCTTGGCTAGGAGAAAGTAAGTCTGACCTATTCACAATGGGGTCGTGCCCCCTTACCCCCGTCCCCACCCACACACTGCCCCAATGCAAACCCAGATCCTTCTTTCGGGATTCTCCTTCCAAGCCAAGCTCCCCATTACTGTGGCAGCATCCTTCGTCTGCATGTCGGGACAAACTTGGTTACGTTTCTTTTTTCGCACCTTGGGCGAACCCCGTTCAACCGCTTCCGCGTTCTTGCCAAGAAACCCAACGAGGAACGTCCCGAGTCGCCCGGAGCCAAACCCGAGAAGGAGGTCATGCGGCACCCGAGGGCAACGCTCGGCGCG